CCCTCCTCATGGATCCCTTTCCCAGGTATGCCCCCCCCCCAGATGAGACCCCTCCCCAGGCCCTCCCCTCCTCATGGATCCCCTCTCCAGGTGAGACCGCACCCCAGGTACTCCCCTTCCCCAGGTGCATCCCTTCCACAGGTGGGACCCCTCCCCAGGTACCCCCATCCCCAGATACAACTCCTCACAATTCACCCCCTCCCCAGGTACCCCCTCCCCAAATACTCCCCTTCCCCACACACCCCCTCCCCAGGTGTGGGAGAGCTCTCCAGGTACCCCCGTCCCCAGGTACTCCCCCATCCTCACAGCCCCCGCACCTCCCGGCTCACCCATTCCCGTCTCCCCCCACCCCACAGCCACCCCCGGGGGTGTCCCCGTGTCCCCATTGTCCCCTCGTGTCCCCCTGTCTCCGTTACCTGCCCCGCGCTGCCCTCACGGCTCCACGCAGCGCCATCACCGCGCGCCCTCCTGGCCCCGCCCACCGCCGCACGCCATTGGTGTATCCCCACAGAGGGGCGTGGCCAAATGGAAATCCCGCTCCTGATTGGTTAATACGCAAACATGGCGGCGCCCATGCCTCAACACTTCCTCCCATCAACGCACCCTATTGGTCAATACACAACGAGGGGCGGGGCTAGCGGTGAAACGCGGCTTCTGATTGGTTAATACGCAAACATGGCGGCGCCCTGCTTGTAGCCGTGCAGACCCGGCGGTTCCGCCCGGGGGTCCCCGCGTGTTCCCTCGGGGTCCCTCTGCCCGAACCCCCCCGGGCTTGTTCCCCGCCCCGCGGGGCTACCGAGCTCCAGCTCGCCCCTCTCGGTCCCTTCCTGCCGCTGCTCGCCCGCCGCTCACGGCTGTCCCCTAAAACATCCCCCTGTACTGTTTTTGGGTTTGCTAATTTAATTTTTTTTTGGCCAAAGCATCAATTTACGTAGTGGGTTTAGCATTGGCCGAATTGTCAGTGCGCTTTTAATTTATTCTTTATTTTTATTCTTTATTTATTTATTTACTTATTTATTATTTTTAGAATTATTTATTCATTTTCTGCTGTGAGATAGGATTAGGAGGAAGACAAAACGGGTTTAATTTTTAATGCTGTAAACGAAAACTTTATTACTAGAAACGATAAGAAAAAGAATAAACGTTTTTGGAATACTTTTGCTCCATTTCCCCCCTGGTGTGCGGGGAGGAGCCGCGACCGCCCGAGCCCGCAGCGCTCCGTGAACCAGAGAAATGATCCGGGAGCCGCGTCACGGCTCGGCTCGTCCTGCTCCTCATCCTCATCTTCATCCTCATCCTCATCTTCATCCTCATCTTCAGCCTCATCTTCACCCTCAGCCTCATCTTCAGCCTCATCCTCATCCCATCCTGCTCACACTTCTCTTTATCCCGCATCCCTTCCTGCTCCCAGTTTATATAGACTGGGAATTACCCTGGGATAGACTGGAATAGATTGGAAATCCTGCAGGGATACAGGCTGGGATAGACTGGGATAGATTGGGACAGACTGGGATAGACTGGGAATTACACTGGGATACAGGCTGGGATAGACTGGGATAGATTGGGATAGACTGGGATAGACTGGGAATTACACTGGGATACAGGCAGGGATAGATTGGGATAGATTGGAATAGACTGGGACACACTGGGAATCCCAGAAGGGCACAGGCAGGGATAGACCGGGATGGACTGGGACAGACTGGAATAGACTGGGAATCCCACAGGGAAAGACAGGGATAGACCGGGGTAGACTGGGATGGACTGGGAATCCCACAGGGATAGACTGGGACAGACTGGGATACATGCAGGGATAGACTGGGATAGACCGGAACAGACTGGGAATCCCACTGGTATAGACTGGGAGAGAATGGGATAGAGACAGGGATGGACTGGGATGGACTGGGACAGAC